TGACACACAGTAATTAAAAGTACCAGACTGGTGGAACTAACCTTCTTAGATGTTTAACAGACATACCTTGAGGCCTATACTAATTTGGTCAGAGGGACATAAAGGACAGTATTTGCTCCTTGCCCTTCTAGGTCGACTAGTTCTAGAGGACTATGAGCATCTCTCAAAATGTCCTGTAATTGTGGTGGGTCACCTGTCGTCTTGATCAAGGAGGCCGAGGAGACCCCACCAGATGGACTTGAACCAGTGTTCAGTCTACAAAGAGGAGGGTCAACACAGAGGAATCATTTCCTCCACGCTTACAAGCAAAGCCAACCTTTGACTTGTCTTCACATAGGTGGAACTGGTAAAAGAAAGGAGCCAGGGGCTCCTCCCAAGCCCATGTGACTCCTGAGGAACAGATCCTCAAATGACCTTAAGAGTAAAAATAAATCGGTTTATCTGGGCCAACTGTATGGCCTTAAACACCCAAAAGGAAAGTATAACTTTTTTCATTTTTAAAGTACAATTTTGCAGGGCACAATATTATAGGTTCTTTTTCTTCCATCCTATAGTCTTTCTACCAGACCTTCAAAGAAGCTTTTTAATTTAATGAAATCCTATTTGACACTGTGTTATTTCATGAGCTGCTGGAGTCCCACTCACAAAGTCCTTGCCTGTATCAGTATCTTGAAATGTCCCAATATGTTTTCCTCAGGTTCAGGATTTCAGGCTTAAGTTCTCAAACCCATTTGGAGAGGTTCTGTTTGTTTTTTGCCTGGAACTCATTATGTAGACCAGTTGGCCTTGAACTCACAGAGATCCACCTGCCTCTGCCTTCCCAGTGCTGGGATTAAAGGTGTGGGCCACCACGGCCAGCATAAACTTCTTTTATAAAAAGCCTTTTCTGCATCTATTAAAATAATCATGTGATTTCTGTCCTTGAGTCCATTTATGTGATTTATTGCATTTATTGATTCCCATATTTTGAACCATCCCTCTATCTGTACCGAAACCAACTGGATTATGAGGAATGGCCTTTTTGATGTGTTCTTGAATTTTGTGTGCAAAATATTTTATGGAGAAATTTTGCACCTATGTTTATTTATCAAGGAGATTGATCTATAATTTTCTTTTTTGTGTGTGCCTTTATCTGGTTTCAGTGTTAGGATAATGCTGAACTTGTCAAAAAGAGTTTGGTAGGGCCAGTGAGATGACTCAGTGAATAAAGGCTCTTGCCAGCAAGCCTAACTACTTGAGTTTGATCAGAACCCACATGGTGGAGAGACTCAACTTCTGAAAGTTGTCCTCTGATTTACACACACACACACACACACACACACACACACACA